TCTATTCTTATAAATCACCCAGTGTTATGTCAGCAATGTGATGACAGATAAAGACAAGGATTCTGCCTATATATACACTGTTTGTTTGTTTCTGCTTGTTTGTTTGTTTTTGGTATAGGGTGGGTGTACTTGCCAGAGACAAACAGACAAAGTGAGAAACCACCCCACAGGGCTGCAATCCTTTTTCCTCCATTCTTTTCTCATGATATCGGGCATGCAAACACATGTGCTTGGTGTGATTTTTCAGACCATTGAGGCTGGGACTTGAACCATGCAGTGGGTATAGCACCTTAACTTCCACACCATTTGCTGCTGTGTGTTTTTTATATATATATGTATGAGAGAGAGAGAGAGGTATATAGATAGATAGAGTCAGAGAGAGAGAGACAGAGAGAGTATATCTCCTTTTTTATTTTGAGAGGTTTTTGCCTTAAGGCACATGTGCTCATCAGAGAGAGAGAGTGAGACAGAGACAGTGAGAGGGAAAGTGAGAAATCCCCCACTCCCCCAGGGGGGATGGCCATGCTGCAATCTCTTCTTCTCCATTCTCTTCCTAGGATTTTGGGCGTGCATGCACAAGTGCTCAGTGTGACTTTCAAGCCACTGGGCCTGAAACTTGAACTGAAGTCAGCCATGTGGGAGTCCAGCAGTGTAACCACTATGCTATCTGCTGGCCCCTCAGTTCTTAATTATCGCTCAAGTTTTCAATCTTTTTTCATAATTAGAACTTTATTGTGCCGTATTTAAGAAATCCTTTTTTACTCCAAGATCACATCAATATTATGTCTTAAATTTCTTTTTTTTTTTCCTACCAAATGAGTTTTTGTTTCATTTTCTTTTGAGAGGTTTTTGCTATAGGGAGTGTGCATTTGCCAGAGAGACAGAAAGCGAGAAAATATGCCCCAGGGGGTTAGCCACTCTGCAATCCCTTCTCCATTCTCCTCTCAAGATCTTAGGCAAGCACGCACACGCGCTCGGATTGAGTTTAAGCCACCAGGTCCAGGATTTGAACCAGAGTAGACTACATGGGAGTCCAGTTATGTAGCCATTATGCCATCCACTGGTCCCTCAGATGAGTTTTATTTGTTACATAATAAGCCACCTAACCTCTTTCAGGTAAAAAATACTAAATTTGAATAAAGATAATCACAAAATGAATTAAAATCAGCTTTGAGGAGGGAACACAATTCCATTCAATTAAACTCCATTCAATTTTTATAAACCACAGATTAGTTTACTTTTTAACATCCATCATGCCATGAATTCATAGGGACTAGGTTCCAGAAGCTCAGGATCCTTTCCATTGGTTCTCACAAAGTGTGCTTCTCGGGGTGGAACAGGCTACTGTTTCAGTTGAACCCAGGTTACCTTTTTTTTTTTTTTTGGCTTCCTTCTTTTTCTGATCATTTTCCTTCACACATTTTAGGAAGGTATCTCTGCCCTTAGTATGCTTAATATGCTCAATACACATTAATTCTCTTGGCAAGAATCTTGGCCTTGTTTGTTTACGACAATGCCAACAGCATGCTGGGTAACATTATAGACTCTTCCAGTTTTGCCATGGTAACATTTGTGGGGCATTGCTTTTTGAACAGTACTCATTCCCTTGATGTCTAGGGTATCACCTTTCTTATAGATGGGCGTATATGTTGCCAAAAGAACAATTCCATGTTTCCTAAAAGGCCTAGAGAACATATATCGGGTGCCTCTCCTCTTTCGCTTTGTGTTTGTCATTTTGGTGAGTTACTGGAAGATGGTGGTTCTAGCCAAAAGGAAGTCAAGCACTTTTTTTTTTACCCAGATTTCTCTTTTTTTTAATTATTACTTTATTTATGTATTTATTATTTAAATTTGCTATAGAATGTGTGTGCATTTCAGAGAGAGAGAGAGAGAAAGAGAGAGGGAAATGAGAAAGCAAGCTGCCAGGTCTGGGACTGAGGTTTGAGGATGGTCAGCCATGTGAGAGTCTAGTGCCTTAACCTCCATGCCACGTGCTGGCTCCAGTGTCTTAAATGCCATATGTTTATCTTTGGCTCATCTGGAGTTCATTTTTCTGTGTGACATTACGTGTGTGTAGAGCCCCAATCTCTGTTTCTTCCTGTGGCAACCATTTCTCCCCATGCTGCGTAGTCAGTCCTCACCCTTTCCTTTGCATTTCCCTGTTTATGTGCAGAGCCACCTTTGCCACATATCAAATATTTATCTCCATGGGTTAAACTAGAGATATTTTTTTAAACCTAAAAGGAAATGCAATTTAAAACTTTAAGATTAATTTCAAGGCTTGTGAACACTGTTTAGATAAGTTGTGAAACAAGGCATGGAAAATAAACAATGTTTTAAATTGGTATCAGTTGGTATACACGTACGTACATGCCCAAAATCTCAAAAAGAAAGTGGAGGAGAAGGGATGATGATGTGGCCATCCCCTCGTGGGGCGGGAGAGTGATTTCTTGCTATCTGTCTCTCTCTTTCTGGTGAGCACATGGACCCTATAGTAAAAATCTTTAAAACAAACAAAAACTTGTAACAACACAAATTACCCTTTTTGTTAGTTTCCATATGTATGTAATCTCACTTATATTTTTATATAGTGGGAGAACCTAGACTTAAAATTTTTATGGGAGGAATGTATAAATACTATGGAAGACACATAAGAGTTTGAAACAATATGGTTAAAGTAGAAATAGGACAAAGGAGGGAAAAGCTAAAAGCAATACTAAAAAAAACAATGAATCTGTAGGATTCATAGGATTCTACTCTCAGAGGGAAAAGGCAGAAGTCTTATTTGATTCTCTGTATCCTAATTACTGGAAGCTTAAGATGATAGACTGCTGACAAAATCAGTTAAGGTAAGTAAGGGTGCTCTGCTGGGGAGTGTCAAGATATAGGGCTTATATCGTAAAGAGATTGCCATACCTAAAGAAAATGGTGCTGGAGGACAAAAGGAGATATACTAATAAACCCGCTTACCAGTTACTTTCTATTGATCGCACTGCGGTGACTAACAAGACTGTTTTTTTTTTTTTTTTGAGAGGTTTTTGCTATAGGGCAAAAGACAGAAAGTGAGAAATCACCTCCCAGGGAGGATGGTCACACTTCAATCCCTTCTCCTCCATTCTCCTCTTGGGATCTTGGGGATCTTGGGTAGGCACACATATGTACCTGGAGTGAGTTTAAGCCACTGAGTCCGGGACTTGAACCACAGTCGACTACATGGGAGTCCAGTGACATAGCCATTATGCCGATTGGTGGTCCCAACGACATATTCTTTCTTCAGATAATTGTAACTTGTGTCAGAATGTCCAATCTTCCTGTTGACACAAAGAATCCACTTTTGCCCCTTCTCTCCCAGACCCTTTTCTGCTACCTTTATCTAATGTGAACATTTTAAAAACAATTTCCATGTGTTATACCTTATATACTTGTTTAAATGACTCTCACTTTCTCAGGGCTGGCAGCCATTCTTGTCATTTCTATTTGGTCCTGTTATTGATGGTCCTGACTTCTGGTTCCAGGGTCTGATCCTTATTTTTATGCTACCTTTTTTCTTTTTTTTAAAAGAATTTTATTTTATTACCATTACTCTTCAGTTTGATGAGATATGCTACCTTTTTTCTTTTTTTTTAAAAGAATTTTATTTATTACCATTACTCTTCAGTTTGATGAGAGAGAGAGAGAGAGAAAGAGTGAGAAAGCAGGCCTCCCTGGCCCAGGACCCAAACCATGGTGGGCTGTGTGGAAGTCCAGCACAGCAACCACCACCTGCCAGTTCCTTTGTGAGAATATGTTTGCTTTAAAATAACTTTTCGTTTGAAGTTGTTTGTTTTTCTTCAAGAGGGACAAAGTTTTTCCATCCAAATTGCTGGTCCTAAAATGTCTTCAATATATTTCCTTTTTTTTTTTTAAGAGTTATTTTACTTAACTTTATTATTATTATTATTTTCCAGTTTGATCAGCCAGAGAGAGAGAGAGCCAGAGAGAAAGTGAGAAAGCAAGCCACCAGGTTTGGGACTCAAACTGTGGTCAGCCATGTGGGAGTGTCCAGCGCCTTAACCACCATGCTGGCTCCAGCTTCAATATATTTCTCAGGAGCTTTGAAATTTGTGTGAATAGGCTCCAAAAGGAAAAGGTTTAAAATGTGTATCCATAGATGGCAAGTCACTTGCAGGTGCTTAATTACCATGTAGATTCACTGTGTTAGCAACATATTCCAGTAAGTTATAAACTGGGTCTATAGAAAGCAGACTCGGAAAAGCACATTGGAATGGGAGTTAAAAGAGATCAGGATTTTATCCATGGTTCTGCCACTAATCTACGTAGCAACAATTATTTAAATGTATGGTCTCTGACTCCTTAAATGTGTAAGAGACTACTTTTTCTACAAGTGCCTCTGCAGTGCTGAAGTTGCGTCTACCCAAGCATAAGATCAATCAGTTATAAATCCAATTTATCCACTCGAATTGTATCAAATCATTGGTCACCTGGGCCAATGTGTTTTCTTCCCTGTTCTCAAATCTTGGAGCGAACTGTACCTAGGTGCTTTTTGCGGTCTTACAGGTGACAAGAAGTGAAGACTACTCAAGCTCCCAGTATGTCAGTATGTTTGCATGACCGAGGACTTCCGTAATCAGGAACATCAAATGGTACTACCTCTTGATAGCTTCCATCAACACAAAAAGTCTGGGTCTCCACTTGGGCAGGAGCGTCCCACCTGGTCCTCGCAGATCACCTTTTCATTCTAAGGCCTGAAGCTCCCTTTCCTCTTAGCAGAAGATGCGGGCCTACTTCAGACGTTAGCTCAAGCTACCCTGAAGAGCATACCCCCACGAAGCGGCCTGACAGCCCTGACAGCCCTGCCCGTACCCCGACGGTCACGAGCGGAACCTGCGGCACGGTGGCAGGGCGGCTCCGGGGGCACGCTGGGAACGCGGGGCGCCGCCGGCCGGCCTGACCCGGAAGAGCTGGCTCCTGGTAACCCCTGCTTCCCTAGCAAACGAGCCGGTGCCACCAGCCGCCAGCACGCGCGGGACCCGGCAGCGCTCCCGCGATGCCTCTGCAGGTCAGCGATTACAGGTGGCAGCAGACGAGGACCGCCGTGTTCCTCTCCCTGCCCCTGCGAGGGGTCTGCGTCAGGGACGCCGACGTGTTCTGCGCGGAGAACTACCTGAAGGTGGGACCGCGAGTCGTGGGCGGGCCCGGGGTGAGGCCGGGGCTTCTGAGAAAGTGCGGCGGGGGGGGCGGGCGGGGCGCGTCCTCCATTTCTACATTGTACATATATGAGCCCCGGACAGGTGACGTCTCATCTACAGATGCCGTCAGGTCAGACGTTACTTTTATGCAGAGATCCCTCAAAGAGATAATGTCTTGCTAATCTTTCGCAATCTGGAATAAATTTAGTGAGCCCTAAAAAAAAAATTGACCCCTTTACCAAGTATTTCTTAATGGCGATCTCTAACTTGATTTCCGTTTTCTTCCTTATTAACAGGTCAACTTTTCTCCGTTTTTATTTGAAGTATTTTTCTATGCCCCCATAGACGATGCAAGCAGCAAAGCGAAGATTGGGAATGATAATATTGTTTTCACCTTGTATAAAAAGGAAGCAGCCATGTGGGAGACCCTTTCTGTGTCAGGTGATAAGTTGCTTAGTAAAAGATGCTCGTCTGGAGCTGCCTTTCTGTGTTTTACCTTTTTAGAAATTCTCTTTTGAAACAACTGTATTGTGTAGGTAAAAGAAGACTTTCTTTTTAGTTTTTTTAGATTCTGTCACTGGGTCTGTGAAATAAACTAACAGTAGGCATATTTATAGGAGAAAAGGTATGCGAATGTATTAATTTTTTTCTGCCATAGGGCTTGTGTGCTCTCCAGAGACAGAAGAGAAATAAATCACCCCTGGGGGGATGGCCACACTGCAGTCCTATCTCTTCCAGTCTCCAAACAAGACTTTGGGCATGAATGCCCTCATGACTTTCAAGCTTGGGTCCAGGACTGGAACCATGTGGGATCAGTCAGCCATGTGGGATCCAGTGCCTTGACCTCTACACCACCTGTTCGCCCCATATTAATTTTTAATATTATGTGGTTGGGAGCATCACAGGAAAACGGAACCAATACCCAAAATCATAGGTTTGAGAGCTTATAGACTCCCGTAATTGAGAAAAGGGAGAAAGTGACAGGCCACTTAAGACTATTTTACTGATTTTTAGGCAAGGCAAACTAATCCATAGAAGAATGGATGGCAGATGGACAGTTTGTAACAAAGTTTGTCAGAATGTGGTGTTGAGGGGACCAGCAGTTAGCATAATGGCTATGTCACTGGACTCCCATGTAGTCAACCACGGTTCACATCCCGGACCTGGTGGCTTAAAACTCACGCCGGGTGCACGTGCGCACGTGCTCAAGATCCCGAGAGGAGAATGGAGGAGAAGGGATTGCGGCATGGCCATCCCCCCTGGGGGGTGATTTCTCGCTTTCTGACTCTGTGTCTCTCTGTCTGGCGAGCGCACACACCCTATAGCAAAAAATAAATAAATAAATAAAAACTCTCCAAAAAAAAAAAAAAAAGAATGTGGTATTGACTTCTAGTCTGATCTAGTATGATAAGAATTAATATCCCCTGGTTTGGTGAAACTCTAGGAAAGGGGATTTATGATTCTTGAGTGTCTTTTAGAGAGTGTTTTTAGGCAGCTAAGAGGAGATCAGAGAAAGCCTCTCCTTGCATTTGCTCAAAATAATATACCAAAGCAGTGTCTTTTGGTATAGCAGGTCTTCTGAACTCCTTCAGTTGTTCTAAAAAAGAAAGCAAGCACATGGACCTAATTTAAATGAAATAATATTTCAGCTGCCACGTGCCTAAGTATTGAAGTATTTATAGTTGGGGCACATTAAGCAAAAGGTATGGGCTTGCATTAAGAGGTAAGCCCATCTGATATGGCCTTTATTGAAAACTTACTTTGAATTAAGCATTAATATATCTGATCATTCTCTAAACAACCTTGTCATTTAGGTATTATTATTCTTTTTTAACAAATGCACAGAAAGGTTGAGTAAGTAATAAAGGTAACACAGGTGGTACTCATAGACTGCAATGGGAGCCTTATACTAGTTTTACTCAAGAGCAGTGGTTCTCAGCCCTGGCTACATATTTGAGTCACCTGTGGAATTTTGAAATAATACAGATGTCTGAAATTCACCTAGATCAATCAAATCATTTTCTGGGAGTGAGTCTCAGGTATTGGCAGGGTTTTTTTTTTTTTTTTTTTTTTTTTTTATAGGTTTTTTTTTTGG